ATACACAACGCAAGTGTTGTTTCACGTCGGTTTTCTGTGAGATCGTAGTATCACTCCGGGCAAGCCAGCCCATTCCTGAAGAAGTATGATTCTCCCACTGATTGCATGCCTGCATTATTTTGTCAAGTTCTAACATCATCCATACAGGATCCATTTAATTACTAACGATCTTTTAATGAATTCGGAACAGCCATGTTCTACCTCTATATACCCCTTTCTTTTTTAAGAATCTCTCCAGTTCCTTCAATAGTTATGTAATCTAATCATATTTCAACTGTAATAAACACTTCACAAATTTAATTACATACTATATCACAAATAGATAGAAGTGCACTCATTGCCAATCTAATGACATAGCCTATACTGAAAGTAGTTGAGTTCCTCGTCAAATAATTACGTGAGTAAGCCGAAAACATAATAATTAATTTAGTACCTATGTCTCACGAAAGTTATAATACAATCTAATGACAGCCTGACACTAAAACATTGTAACAAAATTTCATCACAATATAAGACCATAGTGATCGCAAATTCTCATTGGAACAATCAATAATTTGCAATTGACAAACTCTTTGCCCTTTGCCCAAACCGTGGTCTAAATTATTTGAAGACAATAGAGCACACGGCTTCACAGTCAGCTGAGTACAATGTAGGACTTATCGTAAGATTGAACATAATTTGTGACTTAATGAACGTTTTGTATTGTACTGGAGTAGGTGAGTGTGGTGTTAGTTGTAGCGGATAGCGGGTAAAGCATAAGCTGGTTTGAGAGCGAGTTTTAACTAACAAGTCTTGGTGAGAAATGCTTGAAAAATGGTTTTTAATATTTTTTTTCATATAAATTTGAGAATAGTAACAGCGAAGTGCAATGAAATAGCAAATGTAATTGTTTTGTAGAGATAGAAATGAAGTTGTTTATGGGCACTAAAATATTTTTATATTTTCGTATAGACAATTTTACGTACAAACAAGTTTAATGTCCCCTAAAGATAACGAAACCAGAAATACTCTGAAAAACGACTACAGAAATCATCATGATTATATTATCATTAAAAAACAATTTAAACCCTATCTTTAATTGTTAACGAACTCATAAAAAATAACTTGTATGGAAAATACGTAGTCCTAATGAGAAATCTTTAGTGAAACATTTTCGACCCGCCTCCGCTGCAACTGTGACCACACTTCACAAAGTCCTAATGAGCGACTGCGAGTCTCCATCCACGCGGAAAGATGTTACAACATCCATTGTTCCAACAGAATGTGCTACAAATTATTACCAGACAGTTACAGACTGTCAGACGTCCCTGGAAGTGTAGAGATTAATATCTACACTGTACAACAGTCGCTTAGTCTTAATTATTTTAATATTATAAGCAATCTGCCTCGTTGGCCGAGTGGTCACAAGTGCGACTGCCAGGCAAGGGGTCTCTGGTTCGAAAAACCCAGTAATACTTTGCCCGACCCGAGGGCAAAGTATATACTCAATAATAGCACGGAGTCTGGAATTGTGCGCGGAATATGGCAATAGGCTCACCCCCTATTACATGGGACTCATAACATAAATATTGAAAAGTGGGTGTTACATTGTACAGTGGCATAATGTGCACCTCTGCCTACCCCTTCCCCTTGGGATAAAAGGCATGATGTTATGTTATGTTATTATAAGCAATCACTTCATTAATTGTATTAGGTCATCTTTTGAAAAGAATTTATCTACGAGTTATCGATTTAATTTAATTGCAATCTTAGTTTTGTTTTTTTTTAATGTTGCGACTCTCTTTTGTTTTATAATTCACTAGCTAATTCCGCGTGGTTTCACACGCTCTGCTTAGCTGCTATTGGTTGTAGCATGATGTTTTATAGCCTATAGCCATCCTCGATAAATGCGCTATCCAACACAAAAATAATTATTCAAATCAGACTTGTAGTTACGGAGATTAGCGCGTTCGAACAAATAAACAAAAAAACAAACTTTTCCGCTTTATATAATAGTATAAGATTTACTGCTCAGTAGCAATAAAGCTTATCCCATCTGATGGTTAGCTGACACCGTACCATGTGTAACACCAGAAATATCCCTAATATCCGGAGATGCCGATTACCTAACCGGTTACCGGGGTTACCTAAAACAGAATTAGGAACGGCATGTGTGGTGATTCCGTAGGGGCAACCCGGGTTACAGTCAGGCAGTGAAGGAACACGGCGGTGGTTATAGCCGGTAAGAGACCGGCATACCCTCCCCACGACGTTGGAAGTCCATGAGGATTTCCATCGAGATAGAAAAAAAACATGGACCGCCATGGTTTTTAGTCAGTAGGAGTCTGACACTCCCTCTTACCTCACCGATGGCGGGAGAAGTTAGTGTATAATTTTCCCCACTCAAAAAAGAGATATCCCAAATGCGTTGCAGATGATTATGAATGTGACACATTAATTCCATAGAAACTCAAATTATAAAGTAGCCTATGTATTATTCCAGATTCTAATCTATATACATACAATAATATTTTTACACGCCTTTTATCTCCGAAGGAGTAGGCAGAGGTGTACATTATGCCACTGTACAATGTTACCATCCACCTTTTACT